GATCGAGCAATGACAAAACGCCCGAGGATTTTGGCGCGAGAGGTTTTCACTTGCTGGTTAAACGCCGTGTACATTACATGATTTTATTTTTACCTAATTAACGATAAGATCTACTTTACTACTAATTAACTAAGATGTTAACTTGACTCGGTTGTTCTACATTTTCCGCCTCCTTTAATTCCCTTTCGTAATGCGTCCCGTAAGAACAGGTACACCATTTTTAACTGTTTCCTTTTTTCCTCTCTCACCACGATTCCAGAACCCAGGTAAAGTTACGGGCAGTTGTATATCCTATTTCGCACTAAGACAATAACCTACACGTATCGACGCAATAACTATACGCATCAGCCCAATTAAACGTATACGCATTCGAGGCAATAACGTATACGCATCGAAGCAATAACGTATTCGCATCGAAGGCAATAACGTATACGCATCGAAGGCGAATAAACGTTATAACCGCATCGAAGGACAATAAACGTGTACGCCATCGAAGGCAATAACGTATACGCATCGAAGCATAACGTATATCGCATTCGAGGCCAATAATCGTGATTCGCATCGAAGGCAATAACGTATACGCATCGCAGCAATAACGTATACGCATCGAAGGCAATAACGTATACGCATCGAAGGCAATAACGGTATAACGCACGAAGCATAACGTGATACGCATCGGAAGCAATAACGTATACGCACCGAAGCAATAACGTATACGCATCGAAGCCAATAACGTATACGCATCGAAGGCAATAACGTATTACGCATCAAGCAAATACGTATGGATATCGAGGCAATAACGTATGGATATCGAAGGCATATAACGTATTACGCATCGAAGCAATAACGTATAGCGCAGTCCGAAGCCATAACGTATAACGCATCGAAGGCGAATAACGTATTACGCATCGAAAGAACAATAACGTATACGCATCGAATGCAATAACGTATACGCATCGAAGGCAATAACGTATAACGCATCGAAGGTCGCAATAACGTATCGATCGAAATGGCAATAACGTAATTACGCATCGAAGCGAAATAACGTAATAACGGCATCAAGGCAATAACGAACGCATCGAATGGCAATAACGTATACGCATCGAAGGCAAAACGTATACGCATCGAAGGCCAATAAACGTATACGCATCGAGGCAAGTAACGATTCGCATCGAAGGCTAAAAACGTATAACAAGCAATAACGTATCAAACAAAAGTAAAAACCGTTTCTTTGTTAGAAAGGCATGAGGTGGGCGCTTCACCCGGGTTGACGCGGTGCAGAGAACTCTCGAGGAACTGCGCGCTGTCTCCGGGAGCGGATCTTGGTTCTTGTGCTTCTGCCTTCTGTGGAGCGGCAGCAGCAGCAGGCGCGCACCTGGGCGTGCGCCGCGCCGCCGCGCTCGCGCCGGCACGTCGCGCGCCTGCAAGCACGCGCCCACCTCATGCTACGAATGGCGCGTCCGTAGGCGAACCCACCTTCCAGGTGAAACCCGCCAGCGCGACACCAGCGCCGCTCGCGTCGAACGGCGCACCCGCCGCCCACGTCCCACGTGCCACGCCCCCGCCCCCGCTCAGCGGCCGACGCCGAGCCCAGGCTCGCTCGCCGCCGCCCCGCGCGCCGCCGCCGCCGATGACGAAGACGACTCGCCCACGCCGAAACAGCTGCTTCCTGGGCAGCCACACCACGCAACTGCGCACGTCAGCCGACCCGTTCACCACCTCGCCCCACACTCCTTCCGCGAGTGAACTCCGCTGGAGTGTCGGTTCATCTCACTGACAATTGGCGAACACTCAGTCGGAGACATTCGATTATTGGGAATTATTAAATATAATATCCAATAATAGTAATAAATAACAAAGACAATACCATGCAGTAGCTCTAAAACTTTTAAATAAACTTGAATTAAAATTACTTACGTCTCAAAATATCCGATGACCTTTTTCCCTTTCCCTTCAGTATTCTCAATAAATTGATTCCTCCATTATCAATAATTAAACTATTAATAACAAAACTAATTATCATAAAAAAATAAAGAGAAAAAGAATAGTTCAGAGTATCTTAGAAGACGTTTACTTGTAAATTCTCTATATAAAAAACGAGTAGCCATCATGATTGTCACCATATGTGTCGGTAACTAAAGTGCTACGTCTTCAATGGCAGTACGTGATTACCGGCTGAGAACTTGTAAATTTAGATCAAAGTGATAAATTATTTTATACACCGCAACTTCATCTCTATTTTCCCTCCGTTCAATATGTAACTATAGCGACAATTGAGACGCCAAACCTGCAGTTTATTCTTGCTACAATAACGTATCGGAACTATAATTAAAAGGAAAAATTTTACCACAAAGATTTACAAACATTACTAAATGTGTTACAACAATATGACACAACATTAAACAAAAAATATTATTTTTTCAGGGTTAGAGACAAAAAGTGGATTGAAATATTCAAAAAAAATATCCATGAATTCTTCAACAAAACTTAAAAATTATTTATTGCCAAAATACATAAAAAGCACATCTTTAACATTTTTTTTCAACGAAACCTGCATCGATCAACCCACCAAAACTTTAGAGTATTATGAAGAAAATTGTTCTCGAAACGCGTGTACCCAGTAAGATCGCCAGGAACTCCTCTTAAACAATCCAAAACTACCGTATCATGAATTACGATTATGACAATCATACTTTCCTTAAAAGAAACAGAAAAAAATGAAGAATTAAACGTTAAAAAAATTGTGGTGTTCTGATGTTCGTTTCGAAAGAAGTATTTAATATGTTTCACTTACTCTGAAATTGAAAAAGTGAAAGCAGTTGCTGTCTTTTTCGTGTGAGAGTAGTTAATAAAATATCATAAACATAATTGTTCTTTTTTTTTTTTATTTTTTCTTTTTTTTTTTTTTTTTTTTTTTTTTTTTTTTTTGTTTTTTTTTTTTTTTTTTTTTTTTTTTTTTTTTTTTTTTTTTTTTTTTTTTTTTTTTTTTGTTTTTTTTTTTTTTTGCAAAAATATAAAAAGCCTTATTAACATCCTTCACATTAGTCTTGTGATCCCAAAACGCGTGACTAAGGAAAGAAAAAATGAGAGTAAAATAAAGCGGAACAATTGCTTTGTAAAATGCGAGACATGCAGCATGAAGCGTGAATTTACAGTAAAAAAGAAACTAAAAGAGCCAAGAATAATTATTCCTCAGGGAGAGAATTCCTCACCCCAAAACAAAAAATTGAGTAAACACTGCATTGAGCTGAAACGTCTTTAGACGTAAATTTATTCGTATGTATGTACAAAAAAAAACTATGTGTAAAATAAAAAAAACTATGTGCTGAAACAAAAAAATGTATTTACACGTGTTTTAACTTGTAACAAATTCCACACCAAAATCATTCTATAACAAATAAGAGATTATGCATAAGTAACGCCAAATGATGTATGTTTTAAAGTAATTCACGTCGGAGTGGTTATCGTGTGAAGTGTTTAAAACGGATTTGGCAAGTGTGTCGTTCTACAATATGAAGCCCGTAGTTTAGGACTATGACGGTAGCGTTTCCTGCCAACGCCGAAATAATTCTCACAACACCCTATCAGCATTTGTATCGCAGACAAGAGCCGTTACAAATATTATTTGCATCATGAAATATGTAGAGTAGCTCACACTTTCTGTCACAGTTAGTGAACAAATCCTTTAAACCGTTGATACGTGCTTATTCAAATACGAACGCGATCGTACGAGTTTCTCAAGATTTAACATTTAGTTTCATATTGCAAACGATTATAGTGCTTTAACGCTGTGCAAGAAGCTTCTTCAAATACAGTCACTCAGACCAAATACAAACACAAAGCAGATACGCCATGGCTAACATGTCACCACAAAACAGTAGTTGCAAAATTCCAGTGCTTTAGCTCACATCTCTGACTGCTGCTATCATGTTTATGATTAGTGGTTATGCTGCTTGTCCGTGTTTGATGTTTGTGTTGTCTGTATTGATTCCGTTTTTCTTGGTGAATGATGCCTTGCTCTGTGCTGCTGGAGCTGTTGTAGTGTGTGGTGCTGCTGCTGCGGGGGCGGCGGGAGCACCGGAAGGGCTGCGCGGCGCGGGGGCGCTGCAGCGCTTTGAATGGGTTGGTGTGGGCTCGTGAGTAGCCGCCAAGG